TTGTCAGATAAATGACAGGACGCCCAGTTAAATGTGACTTTCAGAAAAGAAAAGGAATAATATTTTAGTGCAAATGTACCCATGCACTCATCGTTGTTTATCTGCAATTCAAATTTAACTAGGAATCCTGTATTTTTATTGCTGAATCTGGCAACCTGCGCGAACTGGTAAACTCTATTTCTAGTTATAGCTTTTCGGGTGTGTAGGTGCACTGCCCTGGGCTGCCTTCTGCGTGGGTAGCTTATTAAGTGGCATAGGATGGTGATGGGAAGCACTTTAATGAGTAGCATGGGGACGTGGGAGTAATCTCACTTTCTAAGTTACTTTTAACACATCAGTGTGCATTCTTACTGATGATCCAATTAAAAGACAAAAAATCAGTAAGGTGTCCAGAGTTTCATGGTGCCAGGAAGAACAGATAGTCATTTCTGTTTTGTGCCGTTTAAGACTATCTTTCTGAAATGTGGGAGTCCTACGGTTTTTTGTTTTTTTTTTTCGGAAAAATATTGCTTCCTTTTTCAAAACATATGTCTAATAGAGTATAAGATCAAGGGATACTCAGAAGTTCAATTTAAAATATTTAAAATAATTTATTTTAATATTCTAAATAAAAGTACTATTGGCAGACTTGTTTTTGTTTGTTTGTTTGTTTTGTTTTGTCAACTGAAAAAAATTAGTTTGCATTCACCAAATATTTAAGGATAAAGGCCTTGTATAAAATACACAAGATTCCATAGGGAAACTAATTTCAGCTTTTAAATAAATAATTTCGGAAAGCTGCAAAGTAAGTGATTTGCCAGCTGATAGGAGTTGAGTAGTGAGCTCAGTGCCCTGGGTGGAGAGAGTGCTATCAGCCCAAGGCCCCACATGCTTTCTCAAACATGAATCAGTGTAGAGTTGTCCACCAGGGAAATAAAAACACTGACTAGATTTCGTCAGTCTATGGATATTCATCACCTCTGCGTACTTTTAAAATGAAAGTGGAATTAGGATGGAGGGAAAGCTAATCCCAGTTTACTTGTATCTTCAACACATCTCTGTCTTGTGTAACCTTGTGTACCTTTCCTTGTATCTTCAACAACTCTGCGTACTTTTAAAATGAAAGTGGAATTAGGATGGAGGGAAAGCTAATCCCAGTTTACTCGTATCTTCAACACATCTCTGTCTTGTGTAACCTTGTGTACCTTTCCTTGTATCTTCAACACATCCCTCTTGTGTAACCTTTCCATCAGCATCTTGAGTCTCTCAATATTCGAGAGAAAGAAAAAGAAAGAGGGAGAGGAGAGGGAAGAAAAAGAGGAAGGAAGGAAAAGAAAAGGCCTTCCTCCTCAGCTCATCTCTCCAGCTACCATTCTTTTCCACTTCAAGGTTAAATTAAGAAATTTAACTTAAACTGGTTGAACTTACCAACCAGCTAGATCCTGACTTCCTGCCCCATCACTATACTGACCTGGCTCTTGCTAGAGACACCAATGGCCCTCCACTATCTATATACTCGGATGTATTTCTCTTTTCATATTCCTAGTCCTCTTGATGCATTCACAGCTGTTGAATGCTCTCTTCTTAGAGTCCTCCCACACCAGCCACCTCTAGTTGCATGCACTCGCACTCTCCTGGTTTTGCTCCTTCCTCTTAGGGGCAGATATGTGGGCCCTAAAGCTTATACAATTTGGGTCTTTGTTTAAGAAAAGAAAAACCAAAATATTTTTCTTTTGAAAATTCTCTAGAAATATATGACCATGTAAACACATTGCTAGGGCTCTTCCCAAGTGAGAAAAGAATCCAGAATATTAAACATTGTTAGTTTCCAGGTAAATGTGCCTTTGTCATTGGCCCACTCCTCAATCTCCTTTGTCAATTTACCTCCTCTCTCGAACCTTTAATGCTGGAATTCTTCAGGACTCGATTATGGGCCCTCTTTCCTTTTTAACTGTATGTTCATTTTCACTTCTAGCTTATCTTCAAATGACCAAGAATTCTTAAATATATATCTTTAATTCAGACTTCTCCATATATCCAAGTGTTTATTCAACTTCCCTGTTTGATCATCTCAAATCTAGATTACCCAAAATGGAACCATGATATTTCTGCTCATGCCTGGTCATTGTTCACAGTGCAATGTCTCAGTGAATGGAACTGCTGTGGATATTACTCCATGATTCCCACAAATTAAGATAAACCCATTGTGATACATTCTCATTGTACCTATATTTTTGCATCAAAGTATTAATCATACTTTGTAATTAAATATTTAGTTTTGTAATTACTTACAAAATCTCTCTCTTCCCACTTAAACCATAAACTCTATGAGAGCAAGGGCCAAGTCAGCCTAGCAAAATACTTCACAACTGGTTGGTGCTTACATGGCATAGGATGAATATATGACTGCAAGAATGAACAATTGGTCTGTATAACTTTTGTGTACTTGTCATGGAGTCATCTCAAGGCATGCCAGTTAGAGAGGATTTTCTTATTGCATAGAAATTCCAAAGGGCTCCTCCTCTTTGAATAGCAAAGCACTTGCATTTGTCAGTTTTCAAATCTGGTCATTATCAAATGCAAAGGAAATAAGTGTATGAAATGTTAGCTGCTAGGAGATGTTTAAGAAGAAAAGAATTCCATAACTAGCTTCTGAAGGAATTCTGAAAGTCCTAAAAGTTAAAATAGCATTCGTGGTATTGAACCATAGGGAAAGAGCCCATAACACTGAATTAGAAGCAAATTTAAGTAACTTAATTCTCTGGTTTATTGTAAGTAAATGAAATTAAAACAAAATTCTGCCATAGTTTTTAAAGCACTATTGTTCTGGTCTCATTTAGCAAAGTAAATCCTAGATGCCTTCTTTAAATAATAGTACATCAGAGGACAAAAAGGCATCTTGTTTAGATTAGTTCTTCTGTAAAATTATCCAGAGCTTGGGGATAATTCCACCCAGGAACCTCTGCTTTTAAAGTAAACTCATGTAGTTATTACTCTGTTCTCTTCTACTTGTTCTAATCCAGAGAGCCTGGGATTTTCCAGAAATAACAAGGCAGCATGGTGTATTGTACGAGTTAAAAAAAAATTAAAGAAGTTGAGGTAAAATCTTACAAAGAAAGTCAAAATATAAAGAAGACAAAGTAGAGCTCTATGGGGTGGGTTGAAACTCATCCCATCCATATAGATTAATAATTCTTTCTATTTTGTGTTAATCACAGCCTCCGGAATATGAAGATGAAGGAATTAGGAGCACTGTCTACGTCCCACCTCAATCTTTAGTGAGGCATTCTCCACTACAGTTTGTTTTTCTCAAACCTGAGTAACGTTCAGATCACTTTCATATGGGAGAAGATCTGGGGACTACCAGGATCGGCTTAAATAAACTAAGTATATGATATTATTTTACATTTATAGCTCCTCTACAACTCTAAAACTAGTGAAAGGCCCAGGTTGCCTAGTCAAAACCTTTAACGTCTGCTGAAAAGACAGATCCTGGAAATTAAATTTTTGATCCACCAAAGTACAGAGGACCCTTTCAGTTGTCTCCCAAGCATACAGTCTTGATTCTGCTTTCCTAGCAGTAGGTAACCTGTGAGAGCCCCTCACTAGGAGATGTTACTGCAAGACTCCAGGGTCAGAACTCTGTAGAAATCAAATTCTTTCCCAAGGAGTAAGTGATTTGGGGGAATTCTAATGGTAGGAAAATTAACTGTTTCCATCACCTTTTACCAGCAATGACTCTTATTAATAATGCTTCATTTAAACGCAAACTGGATGACATGCTTACATCTCCCACTGCCTAAGGG